AAACTGGGGGGGGGGTACTGTTTATGTCTTTCATTTCTTATCAGAAGCCTTACAGTGAGTTCAGTGTGGAATGCATCCTCTAATAAGAATGCCGACTTCCACCATTGTTCTCTGACTACCTCACACTCACATGGCATGTGCGTGTGCACACACAGAATAAAACCGTGATTAAAAAATGTTGGAGTGAGATGTGGTAGCATGCTCCTTTAATCCCAGCACTTGGGAGGCAGAAGCAGGTGGATCTCTGTGGGTTCAAGGTCAGACTGGTCTACATAGTTCCAAGAGAACCAAAGCTATATATATTATAGAGAGACCTTGTCTGGCATGCACACACAAAAAGTCTTTTAAAATAGGCAAAGAGACCCATCACCCTGACGGCTGAAATGTGTGTTCCCTGACTATGCACCAGGCCCTGGGTCAGGTGCTGTTCTATAGGAATCCATTTACATCTACAGTAGCTCAATAGGCATGGGTATCCCCATTTCACAGATGAAAAAACCAAGACAGGAAAGGTAAAACCACATGTCCAAGGTCACATGTGTGTGTGTGTGTGTGTGTGGCGGGGACCTAGTATAAAACAACTTGTCTATTATTTTAATCTGATAAATGTATTCTCCTATTTTTTTAAAAATATGAGCTGCTTTATATCTTATTTGTGATTGGATGGGGATATATAGGAGGCAGGCATGTGCCATCATGTGCCCACCTCAACCCCCTTCTGTATTGTCTCCATCCTCTGTATTGAGCTGGAGCTGAGTGCTGCAGGGTCATCATTTCATTGGGGGACTTGAGTTCAGTTTTCTGGAGCACCCATGGATGGGACCCTTGCTACCCTTGCAAACAGCTCAGAACCAGGAAGTAGCTGAGAAAGGTAGGCAGGGCAGGGTGCATCAAGTCAGTGGGCGAGACCGATGAGAATTAGCGGAGATGAGCGCCAGGTAATCATGGAGGGCACCAGTGTGGAAAGCCACCTTCTCTCCTGCTCTAGATTCCTGCCAACAGCAGCTCCCAGGTACAACTCCACCTGATTGAGGGACTAAGGATGTTATTCCAAGTTGCCCTAGAAACAGCCTACTAGAACCCTGTGTATATCTCCCTTTTTGCCTTGGCTGTTAGGGAGCTCTTAGAGGAGTTACCTCTTTTGGTCTCAGTAACTAATTCAGTCTATATTTGTTTGTTTGTTTCATGTAGTCCAGGCTGGCCTTGAAATCCTGAACCTCATGCCTCTACTTTCCTAGGGCTAGCATCATAGATGTATGCCACCACAACCATGTCCTTAAATGTTTATGTATTTATTTCAGGACTGGGGATTGAACCAAGGACTTTGAACATGCTAGGCAAGCACCCTATCACTGAGCTATACCTCCAGCCCTCTGGAAAGGTTTCTTTTGATTTCTCTTTTTTGTCTGTTTTGTTTTGGACAGATATCTCTAATTTCAGCTGTCCTAGAATTTGAGACCCTCCTGCTTCGACCTCTGAGTGCTAGGATTACATCATGATATAATCATGATTACAAGGGTGCCATCACTCCATATTCGATCTTCCTTTTAATTTTTAATTGTTATTTTATTATTTTAGAGGGGGTGGTTTGAGACAGAGGCTTACTATGTAACCCAGGCTGGCACAGACTCATGATGTAGATCAGGCCAGCCTTGAACTCACTGCAATCCTCCTGGTCATGTCTCCCAAATGCTGAGGTCCAGAGACACACTGCTACACTGGTGCTCAGTTTCATTGGTGGGTTGGGGACAGGGTCTCGCTGTGTAGCCTTGGCTGGCCTGGAACTCACTCTGTAGATCAGGCTGGTCTGGAACTCACAGAGATATTGCCTTTACCTGCAGAGTGCTGGGACTAAAGGTGTGTGCCACCAGGCCTAACTTGAACTTCATTTTTATTTATTTAGTGTGCATGCATGTGTGTGTGTGTTCAAGATAGGGTCATGATTCCAGGTTAACCTTTGTCTTGACTAGGGTTTCTATTGCTGTGAAGAGACCCCATGACCACAGCAACTCCTATAAAGGAAGACATTTAATTGAGCTGGTGGCTTATAATTTCAGAGGTTTAGTTCATTATCATCATGGCAGGGAGGATGATGGTGCTGGCTACATCTTGATCAGATGCAACAGGAAGTGGACTGAGGCACTGGGTGGGGCTTGGGCATTTATGAGACCTTAAAGCCCACCCCCACAGTGACATTTTTCTTCCAACAAGGTCACACCTACTCCAACAAATCCATACCTCCTAATAGTGCCGCTCCCTGTGAGCTTGTGGGGACCAATTACAGTCAAACATCCACAACCTTGCACTTCTGGTACTCCTGCTTCCATCACCTGAGCACTAGAATTCAGTGTTTGGTTTCAACCCAGGGCCTTGTGTATACTAAGCAAGCACATAGCAACATCGATACATAGCAAGTTCAAGGCCATCCTGGGCTACATGAGCACTTTTTTTTTTTTTTTTTTAATTCACAGTGTGAATGAGAGGTGGTTGAGAAATAGAGGCAGATTTTTTGGGACATAGGAATAAGTGTGGAACGGGGGCCAAGCAGGGTGGCTGGAAGGGCCAGGACAGTAAAGTCGGCTTAGCCACTTGGAGAAGGGGCAATTGGTGCTAAAGGTGTTTGCTGGGGTGCTGGGACGGGAGGAGTGAAGGAGTTGAAAAAGAGTGAGAAAGATGGGGTTGGCTGTGTCCGGAGAACCTCAGGAGTCCTCCGGCTGGCACCTGGGCGAAGCCCCTGGCATGGGAGGAAGTCCGAGGCCCCTGAAGATGGGGCAGCAGCTGAGCTGCAGGGAGGCCTGGAGAGGTTCACCCTGGACTCTCTGGGGACTGCTGTGGTTAGAGCTTTCCTGGAAAACCAGCCTCAGAGGCAAAGCAAAACCTGGCAGTTCCCGGGGCTGGGCGGGGACTGCACTGGGAGGCCACGGGCTGCTGTAGGGACGGACAGACGGACGGACGGACGGTTGCAGCCTTTGGGCTGAGGTGAGGCGCCCTTGAAACAGAACCAGGTTGCTCTGCCTGCTGAGTCCAGGGCACCGGAAAGGTCAGAGCCGCCCTGCTAAAGCTGTCCCCTCCCCCCTTGAATGTCCTTCTCTCAGCTGTCAGCTGCTTGAGTCCAAGCCATCACCGCCTCCGTGAGGCTTTCCTGGCCACTTTGATCTGTCAGGGGGCAGGTGGGGCCTTCCCCATCTCAGCTCACTCACGCCTCCCTGCGGCCGTTCATATATACTCCTACCCTACCCTGCCCAGTAGGCTTCCTCGGGTGGTTTCCTCAGCCTGACCCTAATTCTGCAGCCCATTTACAGGCCCAGCACAGTGCTCCAGAAATGTCAATCAAACTCCTCTCTTCAATGACTATTGTTTTAGACTTCATAGGACCCCCATTTAACAAAAGAAAATCCTGGGGGTCAGAGGGGTGAAGTGACCTGCCCCATGTCACACAACCAGTCTGGCAGTGTGGGATTTGAACCTGCTTCTCATTTACGACTCTTCCCCTCCACTGTGATGTATGTGTCATCCTACAGCCTGTTCCCATGGGGGTGGAGGGAGAATGTGGGTGCCCACTGCACCTGCATAAGGTGTGGGCCTTGAGTATGGAGAGAGCTACATAAAATCGGTAGGGCTCCGTCTCCTTGGATAGGAGAGGAAAGGTTGGACATTTTCAGTTTGTGATCCTGCTAGTCCCTTTTCACCATCTAGGGAGCTGTGAGAAGTGCCTGATGACTGATCCTCCCTGGTCAATTGACTCCAAATCCCTAGTGGAGAGGTCCCAAAGTGTATACAACCTCAGGGGCTTTGTGTTCATGGCTAGAGAACACGCAGCTAGCAATAGGTGGGAAGCCACTCTTCCCTGCAGGATGCAAAGAGCAGGACGCGTTGCTGTGTCGAGGTGAATTCTGGTCCCCACCTACCCCTTCCTTTGCCAAGCCTGGCGTGGACAGCCTCACTCAGCGTGGTGGTAGGTCACACAGCTGAGAAATGGCCTCATGGGCTTTCATCCAGTTCTGTTGCTAGGAGCTACAGGCCCTTGAGAGAAGGTCCTGGTCAGGTACAGGAGGAGAGTGGGCAGGCTGGTCCCCTCCCAGCCTGCACGTCTCCTAACTTCCGGGTTGGCGGCTGTCCCTGTGACCTGTGAGGTGTGCTGCGATCCCATGGCGCTCTAACCGCATGACTCACACTGTTTGGGCTGCTGCTGTCTGTGGAGACACCATGAAGTCATTGTGCCCCGGCCACCTCCTAGCCCAACACGTGCCCGGGCACCTCCACTACCCACTGAGGTCCAGGCTCCTGTTGTGGCAGGCCAGAAAAGACATGTAGTCAGTGAGTATGGCATCATGGGTTGGGGTGGGGTAAAAACAACTCCGTGGGAGACAGATGCCGGTCACTGACAGACCTCATGTCCAACACCTGCCCCTCACTTGTGTGTGGTCTAGGGCCAAGCTCCAGCTTTCTGTGAGCTCTACAGATGGTGTGGGAAAGGGTGCACAGCCAAGTGTGGTGGCTCATGCCTGCATTTTAGGGCCTGAGAGGCAGAATGCTTACTTTATTCCAAAGCTCTGATGGTGGACATTCCATCTCTAAGGCTTCTGTGGTAGGTACTTTTGGTTAACGGCTTAGGGACGGGATGATTCGTTTCAACTCATGGTCCTCCGGTTCCCTTTCCTTCAGGCCTATGGCAAAGCAGGACAGTGTGGTGAAGGAAGCTGCTTAACTCATGGCGGCCAGGAAGCAGAGAGGGAGGGAGGGGCTGGGGACGGATGGACACTTAAGGGCACATCCTCAGCCGCGCACTTTCTTCACCAAGGCCCTACCTCCTTGTTTCTACCACCCTTCTGATGGTGCCATCAGATGACAGACGGATCTGCTGATTGGGCCAGAGCCATTGGGATCCAATCATTT